ATTTTTTCCTATTTTCAGTAACTGAGAATTGATCTAATTTTTCAACATTTTTAAAATTAATCTATTCATGAGATCAAAAACGATCAATAGAAATGATAGCAGTAATAATATTTGTCATTACACTATCAGTGACAGCGAATAATTTTTTCAACTGCGCAACTTTACCAGTATTGATTAATTTTTTTTCAGAAATTTCTCTCGTCGTCTTTTTATTATATTTTCGGTTCAGTAATAGTACTGCTAAATTTGACATCTTTATAGAAAAAATAAAAAAACTTTTGCTTCAAATTACCGTAGTTAAGTAACTAAAACCATATAACTAACATTTAATATTTATTATTTATTATCATAATTATTTTATTATGAATGTTATTCCGACTAATGTTATCACTCATTATCAGTATTATTTAAAGAGCGAAAAATAATTAAAGCGTATGCAGTTCACATTATATTGGTAAGTCATTAGTGAAACACAGTAATAAAAGTTGAATTAAAAAGTTTAAAAAAGTAATGATTGAGGAATAAAATAAAACAGTTCGATAAATGTTGGATAATATAGAAGAAAATGTGTAAAAAGCGTTAAGTGAACATAGTTGTTAGTAATCTCATAGAAACATAAAAATTGTTGCAAGATGAATATTTTTCAATTAACCAAAAGTCTTTCATTCAAAATTTGCTAAGTTATAATTTGACATTTGTTTTTGCTTTGACTATGAAAAATGAATTTGATATTTGCGAGTAAAAATGTCATTAAACCAAAAAAAAGTCTCAGTTTCAGCACCTGCATTTGCGGTTTATAATATTAAAAAATAGCAAATCTTTTTACTTAACAAATAAGAGCTTAATATATTTGAAATCAATGAGAGTGAATTTTCAACAAAAAATGAAGTGATACTTTGCAAGACAAGAGCTAGCGATATTAGAGATACAGAAGAATCTTTCACAGTTTCAATTTTTATTTTCATCCAAAATGTAAGCAAAAAAAAGTTGCTTCAAAAGTGAACAACAGATAACCAAAATCAAATGCACAAAATAATTAATCCACTCATTTATTTGCTATCACTATTATTTTTGATAATTATTATAAAATGTTTGCTTATTAAGAGGTAATAATCTTTCTAAATTAACTACAAAGCAGAAAAAATTTAGAAAATTTGAAATATTCAAACGGTTTTTGCAGCGGTATGAGTGGTATTGCGCATTAATAACCATTTGATAAATGTACTCTGTTCGATCGTTTCATCAACGAAACTCACAACAAATAATATCAAGCAGTGCGATCAGACACATCTATATATTACACAATTCACCAAATGCCATTCTTCGCATGCATTCTTTCCATTTCTGCAAATGAAACAAATTCATATTTTGAAAGTTGCAAATAAACTAAATATTTGCATTTATTTGCCGTGCAAACTAGAAATATTCAATTCTTTTAGATTTCAGAAAAGCAACCTTTTTCATTTTATAAAAAATATGAGTGCAGAAATTGTAAATGAGTTGCATACTTCTTTGATTACTACATAGATAATTTATTTTGCAACGTTAAAACTAAAGCAATAATGAAGATAATATTAAGAAAAATAGCAGAAATGATAATCAAAACAATAGTGTCCCCATTTATCTTAAAAAAAAATGTTTAGTTGTAGTTAAGGTCTCTCACATTTTTCAACGTAATATTTTCCAATACAATTTTTTATTGGCTAGCTAATTTTCCGAGCGACAAGTGGTACTTAACTTTGGTTACTGTAGTGAGGTCATGTAAAAAGTTTTGCTAGATTGTGAGTAAAATTTGAAAAGCATTCTATGAAATGGAAAGCATTTTTAATGAAAAGAGAAGAATTTAAGCAATTAGTATGAATGAATAAATAATTACGGTACCGATAGCTATAGCATTAATGTTAAAATGTTGTTATGGGAATGACCAAAATAGTTACACGAGTAATCGCGAAAAGGCTTTAGTAAATCATTTAAAAATTCTGTACAAAAAGAAATTTTGCTTGCAGTGAAAAATGCTCATAGTGGAAAATGCTTGAATAACTAGCAATAATTCTGAGAGTAATATTGAATGGAATATGGAAAAGGGGCTGTATGACAGCATGTTTTTTTAAATATAACTGTGCAGTATTCATTTTAGCACTTTTATATGTGCAAAAAAGAAGAAAAAGTGATAAAATAAGAACTAATGTAAGCTAAAAATATTCCAAAGTTATATAATTAAAGTTAAGTTATTTGCATATACGATTAAGTTTAGAGAAAAAAACACCGAAAACTAATGAAAACTAGTACGGAGTTACTGAATGTAAATATCCTAATTATTTGATTCCCTGTAAACAGATAGCTTTTCATTTGCGAATTGAAGTAAAAATAAGAGCCAAAACAAATTTAGAATCGCTTTACTTTCTTTTCGGATTTTTCAGCTATAATTGTCTTTTCATCGAAAATTCTCAAACTTTTTAAGAAAAATGCAACGCTTAAAGTTATAAATAATTCTGTAATTTTATTAAGACTTCGTAATTTCCAAAATTTGAATAAAACTTGGGCATTCAAATTTTGATAAGCAATAACTCTGACCTTTCAGGCTGACTAATATTTAGTCAATGCATAAAATAAGTGATTTTTAGAACTGTCTCATTAGTTCTTTTTTTGCATTATTATACTCTTAAACTCTTCTCATGCAGCGTAGACTCATTTTTTATGCATCTAACCTTAAAAACGGCGAAGGCAATACTAATCCTCAAGTAGTTCTGAAGTTATAATCAGGAATTCCTCTGCTTTTATTTGCATTAAATAAAAGCATTTCAAATATTCAAACATGTCAAATTTTATCGTCAGAAGTAAAAACTCTCCATGTCATGAATGACATTTTTGTTCTGGAATGTCTAAATAGTTCAAGAAGATTAGTGTTCATTTGCAAATCATTATTAACTAAAAAACGAAAATATTTATTTTTTTAAAAACATTTTTAATTCGAACGTCTTCTGTTAATTTCCATCTGATTCGTGCACACACAGTTGCGTTGTAGAAATTCAATATGCTTTTTAATGTACTAATGTATACTTTTCCAGTTTTTATTTACATTACAAGTCTCTAAGTTATTATCATACCCAGGAAGAGGCCCCCAGAAGAAATGATGCTATTCCAAATGACATTGACAGCAATCCCATAATTAGCAGAGGTAATTTACGAGTGTAATTAGACCGAAAATCAAAGGCCAATTTTTTTCAATGAATTTTTATGAGCGTTATTGAAATATATTCCTGACAAAATATATGTTTTTCATGGATTATTAATTTCAATGCATATATTATATCACTGCTAAAATTGCAAAATATTTTTATTAAATACTCCCAAGTGCAGGTACTTGAATTAAGCGAAAATTTTCATTATTAATCCAACGAAAATTGTTTAAAACGACTAACTTATTATATTTTTCACACGTGAATTTAATTCTGTTTTTAAGCATTTAAATACTAGGTAAAGAGATCGATCTTTCAGGCAAACTCCAGAATTTATCCAATAAAACTACTGCTATGAATATTTTCATGTTAATCACATATAAAGTTATCAAGTAAACTTTTCTTTGATCAGTTTTGGAACTATCAAATCAAAAATTCATATTATTAATATAACTGCTAATACTAAGTCTGATGAAATATAATATAATTATTTTAATAAAAAACTACTTAACTTACGACCAGACAAATCAGTAATATTTTTGTCGCAATTTTTTCGCTTAAATATTTTAAAATAAATAAATTTTTATCGCAAATCGAATATTTCAGTCAGTGTGGCAAAGATTTTTCTTTATTAATTCAGTCTCATCAGAGATTTCTATACCCTCAGTCATGTAACTCATCTCAATTTGAAGCGCTCGAACTATGCTTGGGCATGATTTTCAAGAAAATAAATATATTATGGCAAAGCCAAATAAGTTATAACTTTGGTTAAATTCCTTGGAAAAAAAGCAAACTGAAATTATTTGAAGTACCATTAAAAAACTCGCTCGTATTTGACGTGCTCTCATATTTATGATAAATTTGCTTATATATTCAAACAGGTCGACGACTTCGATCAATAATGACCAACTTTTTACATGTGACAAAAAATTGTTGCAAACGATTTTTGATCATTTCATCGAATGTGGGATCAAAAGTATGCTTAAAAAATGAAAAATAAAAATTCATGGAGTAATTGAAGAAGACCTTCAAGTTCTGGTCTGTTTTAACTTTTAAAGTTTACTTTTTAAATTCAAGAAATTCTGATTTTTGATGAAATTTATAATTTTCTTCATCTCGTCAGTCATTACAAATCATACATTTCATTGTAATTCAAGTTAAACAAACCAGTCTCCAATCATTCAATTTATAAAATACATTATTTAAACTAGAAACAATCATTTGAAATCGTGAAACTTAAAGTTGTGAACTAATCAGCGCAAAAATGTGAAGTTTTTTGCTGCAGATAATTTTAGATAAAAGTTTTTCAACATTATGATAGAAATATTTATGTGAGTCATTGGCAAGAAAAAACCTGATTTTCAAAACTTGAAATTACTAAAATGGATGGTAATTATGCAAACAGATTTTTTGAAGGACGGGAATCGCACGTCAATGAGTTTCGCTATTATACTGCCAAACTTTTTATGTGTTTAAATCATAAAAATAGGTTAAATACTTGTGTGGGAATTAAGAAAAAGCTATTTAAGTATTTCTTTTCTTACCATAGTATAGTTTATTTCAATTACATTTTTTTCACCAAAACATTTGCATCAAATGACAATTTTTTTTGTAATTGGATTAACTTCATGTTGCTTATCGAACATAAGTAAAATGAATGGTTGTTGTAGTTTATTTAAATAGCCACCGTAATTCGAACTCTTTTGATTTTGCTTCTTTAGAGTACTAAAAATCCGAAAAAAAATTTAATAAGGAAATTTAATGCTTACAACAATAATTATAAAATGAATTCCATTCAATCTTTTCAGAATTTTTAGCAAAATGTTCATTAATTTTTCAACAATTCTTGCATTTATTTGCTTTCTAAATGCAAAATGTCGAGCACAGCCACAACCAAGCCAGTTTTGTATTAACGATGCTCAGTGTGGCCTACATCAACGATGCGCACCAAATACTGCTGGCTTGCTTCTTTGTCAACCATTTTTTAATCATATATCTAACAACAGACAAAAAGTAAGTAAGTTTTGGCCAAATTTAGTTTTATAAATAAAATTTATTTTTATTCGCTAACAATTTTGGATTAGTCTAAATTTTCGGCTATTTAAAAGCTAGTAATCAGTTATTAGTTAAGAGCGTCTATATAAACGTTTATGATCGATAGCATTTATTGTCTGCGTGGGTTCATATGAAGGTAATTACTTACGAGTTTTGAAGCATGGTCAAACAGCTTGTCAAAGTGACCATGACTGTGCGGGATTTGGAAAATGCATTCGTAATAATTGGTATAGTACATGTCAATACGATTCGTTTGGATGGAAAGGTAAACAAAAAGTCTTAGTCATTCTCTGACTGTCAATCATTTAAATTCAGTTATTCGTGCAGCAGTATTACTTACCTCAGGATTTTGTCTACATTTTACTGAATTCACAAATTTTAATAGGAATAGTTTCCATATTTTAATACTTCAAGATAATATTTGTTGCAAATAAGATAATTTTTTGAACGGATTTAGCACTTGGTGCAGTGAACGATATATGTTACGAAAATGCCGATTGTTCGGAGTATCTTGATTGCGTTAAACAACGAAGTGACACGTTCTCATCCTGCCAGGTGAACGTGAAAACAATTTGGCATAGTATATTATCATTGCGAAATACTAGAAAAATGCTATATAAAGCTATTATTTCTATAACATTTTTCAGATCAATCCAGAAAAATTTCCTTACAAAGCGTGTCAAAATGATAACGATTGTATAATGCTGGAAAAATGTTCGTTTAGTAAATTATACAACCAAAACCTATGCTTGACACTTTCACCATATTGTAAGCTTTAGCTTTACTACTTATTCAGAATGAATACTGATAATTGAAAATTATATTTTTAACCCGTTAATTATTTGCCATTATATTTGTTAACAACTATTTTGTTAAATTGTGTGCTTTGTTTCTTTTATTGTGAGCAGTTTTAAATTTAGGTGGTAATCATTTCATCTTAATAATACTGACTTTTTCTAGCCACAAGAACCACAATCAGTCCATTTTGGAATCAAGAAATTGGTAAAGGTGTGATTGTTATGCCAACGGATTCAATTGGTCATGGCGCTTATCCTAGGCATTTTGATAAGGAATGTAATGCTGATTATCAGGCAGGTCTTTTGTTTGTGTAAACTAAAAGAATTTAATTTTCAGTTATTAGATTTAAACATCATATTTAGGTACAATATCATTCATCATCTTCTCTCATGCTATAAATATTGCCTTTATTAATGATGATAGCTTAGCTGAACTATTCCAACCACTTAATTTTGAAGACTTTGACTGTAGTTCTGGGAAGCATTATAGTCTCTTAATTGCTGATTTCAGTTTATATTGAATTTTTCTTTAGTTTAATTCCATTATTTGAGTATATAAAAAATATTCGATGGTGACTTTTCCATTCTGCTGACATTAAAATGACGTTATCAGTTAAATTACTTTTCCATACTGTGACTTAAAACTATAATTTCATTTTAGTAATAGAGGTTTCGCACCTCATAAGCATTTATAATGGAGCTTTGTAATGAAGCAGGTAACTTAAATAATATAATCAAATGTAAATGAATTTTAGTGTCCTATTTCTGACACTTGTACTGGATGGGATTTCCAAGGTAAACGAATTTGCATTTATAATCCAACTGCAAGTACACGACACTGCCGTTTTCACGCTGATTGTAAAGTTGGAATGGTAATGAAAATGGCTAGCTTTAACTTTGTTATCAGTTTTTTATTTCTAGCCTACTTAAAATGAAGTTTTATCTGATTATAATTTTAAAATAGTAAAAGTTTCACTTTATTTACTAAAGAACGGCTATTCAATTGCCATTTTCGATCATATAATGTATATGTAACACTGTTTTTTCTAATAATTTACTATGGTCTATCACTAGCCGATTTGGCTTCAGAGTTTTATAGCGTAGGAATCGTCTCTCAAGAAGGGATGCTTTTGAAAGAATATTAATCATTAATTAGTCTACTTTAAATATTAATTTCATACTTTCTTAACTCTAACTTTACTACCTTGACTCATTCACACTACCCTTGTGGTTGAGTTTAATCGCTCCTTTAAAAATCTTTAGCGTTGCGAGAAAAGTTCTGGGAATACTTATCAATGCCAATATGCAAAGTTACCAACCACCATGCAACCATGCAATTATGATTACGAATGTTCAAATGGAGAACAATGCATGAATATCGCTGAGACAAAACCATTTCAGCAAGTACTTACACTCATAGTATTTGGAATTATGCTAACTAAAAACAGTTTTTTTGACTTAAATGACTTCTTTGAACCGTTCATTAAAGAGTGAGAAACTCATAAGTACAAACGTAAGTGAACTTTGTTTTAATTTCTTGCCACAATATATCTGCAATGGATCCAGTTAAATTGTCCTGAATTTCCAAGGTAAAAAAAATGCTAATCTCATTTTGTTATGATCATCAAGAATCAGTTAAAGAGCATACGACGTTGCATTTCAAATGATGGAAATTCAATCTGCAACGTCGATGAAGACTGCTTGAATACAAAGGTGTGCAGATTTTTTGGGAAAATCAAACAGTGTGTATCGTTAGGAGCACTTGGATCACATTTTGGGTCACAATATCCCAATCAATAAATTGTACTTTCGTTAAAATATTTAGATATTGTTAAAATTAAATACTTAGTTTTTGTTAAAATAAACGTTGTAAACCTTTATCCTTAAATTTAAATCATAGTTGCGATTATTATTCGCATTAAGGAACTATCTTATTTTCTTCGCAAGCCTTTCTTTTTCTTTTATTTTCTTACTGATTTAACATTTGGTGGATATTACATGATTTCAAATAAAAATATTATCATTTTTAGTGATTTTATTGAAATACTGAAACAATAGTATCGCTTAAATTTGTCTTCATAATGCTCATATTTCTCGAAAGTTCGAAACATTATGCAAAACTAAAGATAACACACTAATTAAGAACTTATATCTTAATGATTGCATCTGAAAAGAAATTCATACAGATGAAAAAAATTGTGAACTGCCTCTTGGCGTGTCTGCTCAACATTTTAATTGCCACAGCAACTCCATCACATTCTCACATTGAGATTTCTTCAGAAACTGCCTTTAACCTTAAATTAAAACAAAATTTCGATTCTATTCGCATTAAGAAACTATCTTACTTTATTTGCAAGCCTTCCTTGTTCTTTTACTTCCTTGCTAAATAATTGAAACTGATTGCTAATGACTTTGTAGGACATATTACGAGATAATTATTTGGTTTCTCATTTTTGCAATATTCGATAACTTTCCATTAACCACAAAACAACATTGACTTGGTACGACATATTTACAGTTCGTCCGAAAAATATAGCAGGATGATGTGGCAAAATATATTAAAACAATATTCGATTACAACTTTAATTCATAAACACGTTGAGAAAAATACGAAACAAGTTCAATTCAAAGTATAAGAAAACCTAGTCGAATTAATCCGTTTAATTGTTTTTAGCTACAGGATATTTTACTACATTTCAGTTGATTATTCATTCACGGGAAAAAGCCTCATTTTTTGTTTGACTTGAAAGCTAATATTAGAAACAAAATTATGAGGGACATTATTACAGCAGAATCATCTCATCATCGATGTATGCTGATTTTGAACCATTTCTAAAATGAATACTAGTAATATAAAAAATTTTATCACTTTGGTTAGACTAAGTCACTTGAAAGTACACGATCATTAAATTATGATTTTTAATTAAATATGATCTCTAATTAACTGGAAAATTTTGAAATGGATTTCAGTCCAAGCTAAAGTCGATTGAAGGCAGTAATTATTTATCCTTCAAATGAACCATCTTTCTTATCACTTTTAAGATATTGGTCTGTAATTGGAGTGACTAACACAATCACTCATAAATCTCATCTTAATTAGATGAACAAATTAACGTTTCGGGTATATTTTTGGATATGAAACTGAGTTTTTGACAAGTTGAAACACTCAGTCAGTGGAAGGTGCGTGTCTTATTTACATATTTAAATATCGTTCAAGATTTTAAGTTCTATGCTAATTTATCACAGATCCAAATAGTTACTTAAAGACTCAACTAAATGTATGAAGTAAAGTTTAGATAAATCGAGATGGTAAGAACGGTTTTTTTGGTCGTAGTGATTTATGTAATGCAGTTTATCGTGAACGTATCAGCACTTGCTACAGACCAGTCATGTATCAGAACTATTATGAATTGTGCAAAAAAACTGAATGTGAGTAAATATATGGACGTCAACCAAAAAATAAATCACAAAAAATTTTGTAATGCTGTCTCGCAGAGTCTCGACTGCTTAGTAGCAGAAGTAAGTTTACAAGTTTTTTCCATTCGTTTTAGAATTGTGCTAAAGAATCTTTGTAACGTAAAGACAGAGTGCGTTTTCCGAACAAATTGTGATTGAAAATAAATTTTCGTGAAATTGATAGAGTCACTCCAGTAATGTATGTACTGTGCATATGAATTTGAAGCAAAAAAACTGGGAGTGAGTAAATTTATAGACTTAAAGCAAAAAATTAATTACAAAATTCTTTGAAGGTTTTTTGAAAATTAATTAATAGACGTAGAGCATTGTGTAAAAAAGTCTTTTTAGTCGGCAAATTTGTAAAAATGATACTTTTCAACTGTTTGAAATCTTCAGGATGGTCGCCCCAAACTGAAAAATGCAGAAGAAAGAGTAATTGTTTTCAATGACTGCTATAAGAGGGAGCACCGTAATTTCTTTGTATGGCCTAAAATTATTATCTACACTTTTCCGCATTTGAAATACGTGTTAAAAACTGAGTGTTTCCGAGCCTTTGTTCATAGTTATGCAACATACTCAAAACAGCTGTATTAAACATTTTACTGTTCCTCCAATGACAATTCCTACAAAAATAAAACATTTATTTACAGAATGAAAGAAAAAAAGTGCATCGTCTATACACAAATACGTGCGCTAAATCAGTAGCCGCCGTTTTGGGAATGAAAGGATGTTCTGAGTAAGATAAACAAGTTCTTTAAACTATTATTATTTTTCAATCTTATTCTTAAGCTGATATGGAAACTGATGAGTTGGTAACACATATTTAAAATCAAACATCAAGTTCAATTTCAAACAATTTTCTTAACCATGGTCTCATTCCAAAAAAAATTTTCTTTTCTCTGAAGCACAATAAGACTCTACTGTTTATCTCCGTAGATTGAATGTTTAACCTAATTTGCAGTGATATTGTAAGACTTTGCATCGTTCAAGATCCGCCACATCCAAATTGTTCATTTTCAAACTGCAAATATCTGAGGACAATGCAAAGCTCAGAAAAAAGAAGTAAATTGAATCGAGAACAGATAAGTTTGGGATATCTATTCAATTATTCGCATCAAGCTGACTTAGCTGTTGTGAATCACGTTAATACTTTATACTTGTCGGCATTAATAATAACGATGTTCATTATAGGAACTTTTTCATGTTGATTTTTTATAACTATAAGGATATATGTGGAATAAAGATTGTCATACTCTACTGTTTGTGAGTTTTTCATTTTGCGTAATGGAAAAGCAATCATTTTTTCGAAATGACACTGCAGAAAAGTGACATCTATTTGAAATAGTGTCTGTCCTCTTAGGAGAACACTATGATTGATGATAGCCAAAGAGTTTGTCTTTTTTCCAGTAATATTTTTCAAATTTACAAGAATGCAGCTTTTATAAAATTAGATATTGAAAGTATCTGAGTTTGTGTCATATTTTGTTAGTGATGCAGTTAATGTAAAAACAAAGAAATTAGCACTGGCAAAATATGTCCAAAATTTGCACCATAATTTTTTTGAGAAGGTCTTGCATATTTTTATATTTAATTTAGCATGTTTTGGCTAACATCAACGTAATAATTTTTTTTGTTCCACAGCTTATATTGTAATCTATACCACTACTCATTCGGATCTTGATATTCACTACAACGTCACAAGATTCTAATTTCATTTATGATTATTCATCCATTCTCAAAGGATATGTGTCTTCATTTTCTCAAAAAATAAAAATTTGCAATTAAATTTGCAACTGCAGATGTAATTAAAAAATTTTTCTCGAAAGTAATTGAAGTTTATTTCAAACATTCGAGTCTTCTATCATGTTGCAATTTTTGAACAAGTTAAAAATATGTGTAAAAAAATATATAACACAACATTGGTGCTAAAAATTTCATTGATTCCAAGACAGCTTTTAAGGTAGCAGTATATATATATTGAATTGCAGAAGGAAATTTGAAGTTCTGATGAGATATTTGTTGTCAAATCTGCCCTCCTGAAAATGTTCTTTACTGAATTATTTAT